GGGGAGAAAGGAGAAGGGAGTTTTTTCTTAAAAAATTTTTTTTTTTTTTTTTTGTGACTCGCCTTCCTCCATTTAGCTGCCATGATCACGCCGGTTTAACCACGACTGTTTTTATTCCAACACCCCTCACTCATTCTCCCTCCAGTGATTCACGACAGTTTTGGGAGCATGATGGCGGATGGTCGACGGACTCCTTACCTGCGGCCCTGGCGGAGAAAACTGGGGAGTGACAGACACATAGCATCGAAAGGTTTTTTTTTTTTTTTGTGACTCGCCTTCCTCCATTTAGCTGCCATGATCACGCCGGTTTAACCACGACTGTTTTTATTCCAACACCCCTCACTCATTCTCCCTCCAGTGATTCACGACAGTTTTGGGAGCATGATGGCGGATGGTCGACGGACTCCTTACCTGCGGCCCTGGCGGAGAAAACTGGGGAGTGACAGACACATAGCATCGAAAGGGGCCGATGCTGGAGATGGAGACGAGGACGATGGCAGCGATGACGTGATGACAATGAAGACAACATTTTTTTAGGGGTGGGGGGGGCGGGGATTGTTTGTTTTCAGGGAAGGAGGCAGCAAAAGGAGACAATGGGTTAAGACATGTTAGCATTCAATGGCTGCTGAAGGGGGCGACTCCGATGAATCAACATTTGAGGACAAGTCTTGCAATCCATTCCGGTGATTCCCAACCACTGCGTCATGACACATTGAGTCCAAATGATTCACTACAAACAATGCTTTCTGTGATCATCTATCTATGCCGGTGACGTATTGTGACAGGCGGATCAATAAAAATGCTCTGCCATTTCCTGTTGCCATTCAGACAAAGGAATGACGGCCTTGCGTTCAACTCGACAGGCTCAGATTTGATCATTATTTGAGACAGTTCTTTTCTGTTTTTGGCGGCGTGCCATGAGATTTTTTTCGAATGTAAAATATGTGCCTTTAGGGTTGGGAAAAACTGCTAGTCGGTGTGCATTCAGCTGTCTCGTCAAGTAATCGGCAGCAGTGGTGCCTTGGGATATGAGTTTAGCGTTATTATGAATTCCACTTGATTTCTAGACAGCCCAGCCTGGCAGGGCATGGCTTCAGTGAGAGGACTCAACACCTCCTTCTGATCATCAGTACGACACTAGTAGTGGCTGTTCTACGCAGAGGATGAAGAATACTAGTTATTTTCATACAATGCATGTTCATACAGCAATTAGCTTAGCACAGCACAAAGGCAGGAAAAAGATCAGCCTCAGCTGGGAAAATGAGTCTTCCAGGAACTAGTTTAATGAATTTAGTGGGATTTTGTACAAAAAAGTACCGTATTTTCTGCACCATGAGGCGTTTTGGAATATAACCTTCAATGAAAGGCTTTTTAAAACTCTTTTCATATGTACGGTGCACCGCATTATAAGGCGCATCGAATAGAAGCTACAATAGCGGTTGAGGTTGCGTTATGCATCCACTCGATGGAGCTGCGCTAAAGGGAATACTTTAGCGCATAATACGATACAGCTTTATTGAAATAGCGCTTTCACAACCGCTACAGCTGTAACAAGGCGCTTTACAGGACATTTAAAATACTACGTCCAAGAAATCTGAATATTGATCCATATATAAAGCGCGTCGGATTATCAGGCGCACTCTCGGCTTTTGAGAAAACGGAATGTTTTCAAGTGTGCCTTATGGTGCGGAAAATAGGGTCATGGCGTAATTAGTTAGTAGGTGCGTTTATGACATGTAGCAGGACGTCATACAAAAAAGTAGAACACTGATGTTTTGGGGGCGGTTAGCTGACAAATCTGAAACACGGTGAGTGTGTGAGCGTTTGGCTGCGGGTCATCAATCGCTCAGATCTGATTGCAGAACAAAGGAGATTGCTCCGTGGGCCTCTCGCAGTAACAGTAGTCGCTAATGGGGAGCAAGAGGTTGGTTGGATGTTGGTTTTTGGTGGAGCCCGAAGCTCAGTGCAACAGTGCATCGGACCATTATGAGAAGCACGGGCTAGGTTATGAGCGCTAATGTCCCCTGTCAGTCCACGGACAAGGGCACACACTGGATCAAACACGGGCACTGCTTTGAGTTCAAATCCGATGCGGTTAGCTTGAAATGCTCATCTTGTGGGCGTCACACAACAGATTCTGGGACTTTTTTCGAATCTGAATTAGACACGTCCTAAATGGTACCACTGCCTTGGTATCAAAGCATTTTGTTCTTGCCGCAGACAGGGGCGATCAAAGACAATTGTACCCTCCGAGTGGTGTGAGAGGATGAGGAGGTTGACACAGGATGCCCCAGCTCCCGATCCAAAAATGGTGATCCTCTCTGGGTCGCCGCCGAAGTGACCGATGTTCTCGTTGAGCCAGCGCAGCGCCTGAATCTGGTCCAGGAGGCCGTAGTTGCCCTTGGCCGACTGGTCACCTGTGCTGAGAAAACCTGCAGACGGAGAGCAACGGCAGCATGACGTTAGCATCCACAGCTAATCTCTTAGTCCCAATGTTAGAGATTCCGAGACAAGGCCCCGCAGGGGAGTGTCCTGAAGCCTCGTCAGGGGAAAATACTTACGAAATTCAAGGCCATGATTGGACTAGTCAGCCACCTCCATATTTACTCAAACCCAGAACACGACCAAGAGAGAGTGCAATGAACTCAACTCAACTCAACTGTATTTATAGAGCACTTTAAAACAGCCATCGCTGCCGCATAAGAATATCTCTTTTACAATGCCAGTGGATTGTTTTGTGTGAGGGTCCTGTTGCTGTCCAGGTTCTTTTGTTAACAACCTCACAGAAGGAGTCAATAATCAGACCAGAAAACAAGTTCAATTTTGTATTCTCACCGAGTGATCTGTCGTCTTAAATTTTTGAAGCCTTTTTATCTGTTTTTCCAACTGCCCGCGTTGGTCCAAAGTGTGAGGAAATTCTCGGTTTTATCTCCAGCCCTGAACTCTTATAAAATAGTTCAAACGGGGAGACTGAGCGATGTGCCCGCCGTCATTTGCCCACACACACTGTGGCTAACGTGAGAAACACAGGCTCTTGCAAAGGAAACGATAACAGTTTCTTGGTCAGTCATTTAAAGGGCCTGCATCATGTCAAATCAACTTTTTGGAGCTTTTAGCCATGTTAAAATGTTAATGCCTCACCCAGAACAGCCCCAAAGTGGTCTTTTCTTCCATTTAACCGTCTCTGAGCATTCCTGCTATCTGAGCACCAGCTCCACCCAATCCGCCCCCCCCCCACCAAAAAAAGATTGGGTCCTCAGTCTTACATGTAACAAATCGAGAAGCCACAACCGTACCGCTTCTGCAGATTAAACACAAGACCACTTTCTCGAGCAGCCAGCGGGACTCCTGACCAGCGTATCCGGGAAAGAAACGTGATGAGCGGCCACCTCGGGCCAAGGCGCAGGACTTCCCGGCTGGAGCGCCACTTCTGTGCGCTTGCCCGCATCATGTGTGCCCAATGAAGGCGCGCTCAGAGCAGCCTCCCTGACGATTTTATTACTATTTACTGTTCCATGGGTGGTGCGCAATAGCAGGGCGATGCCATGAAACGGCCATACCCGTGATACAGGGGGAGGCGGAGTTTCAATGAGCTAGGGTGGGGGGTTAGAAAAATAGCCACCAATATAACTCATATTGCAAAGGAAGTATATAATCAACTATATGCCTATAGGTAACTTTGGAAAACTTAAAATAACATGATCTAGGCCACGGGTCTCAAACCCATTTGAAAAAACAAAACTAAATAATAATATCGAACCGGTAACATTTCGTTTTTGGAGTGCATGTGGGCAGAGAGGCAAGCTCGTAGTTTCCCCAACACCGCATCCTCATGTTGTTCAAGCAAATTTAATATCTCACAATCCTGAAAGTTTCTCAGTTGTACTTTGACATTTGCCTCCATAATTGCTGCTTAATATCTTCGATTGTTCCGACAAACAGGCCAGTATGTTCTATTCATCCTCTATTGATCTTAATTAGACCCTTCATTAGATGTGCGGAAAAAAAGGTCACCCATTAAATGCATGCAGTGAAGGTCCATCATTCAGACAAGGCCTATTACAATCACACAAGTACATAAAATGAAACATCAATAGGGATGTACTCCGCGGTTTCCTTTGAACAACGGCATGATGGCAGAAGCGGCACGAGGGGAACAACTACAGCAGTCCATTTGAGCCCGTCTCGCCGAGCACATTCATCCTAATCTGACAAGACGCTCGGACAAAAGTGATGGTGCGCTCCGTGTGAGATGAAAGCCAAAGAGAGAGAGAGAGAGAGGAGGATCGTGGGTGATCTGTGAGACCTGGACAGAGGAACACTGTTTCATCCGACTCCAAGTCAGGGTGCACAAAGGCCGGAATTCCTGCGCCATGCAAATACACTTTTGCCCTCAAAATCAATATGTGATGGCAGCAGCGCCCCCTGCTGCTCTGGCAACGTAATGAAAGAGCAGATCGATTGATTTCAAATGGACATCGCAGCGTCGTAGAGCGCAATTTTCAAATTGTAAATTGGGCGATTGCTTGTGTTTTTCAGAAAATACATGGGAAGAGGGCCTTGGAAAAAAAAAAGATCACATATTCAATGGCAATATTGAGAAGAGGAAAAAAAAAATTGCAAATCAGTCAAAATCATCCAGGGAAGCGTCTCTCAGGCAAAAATAGACCACAGAGAGGAGGCGGGGTTGTCAAAACGTCGGCCCATTCATCCGCGATGTGTGTGTTTCTCTCTCCTCTCAAGGGGTTTCCTTTTAAGCTTTTTCAACATTGTTTTGATGTCTTCTCAAGCTGCACGACGCGTGTGTGGACGCGAGCGAAAGCAGGCCAGCTCCCGGCAGGGCACACGTGCTTGTTTGCATGCGTGTGTGTAGAACGCGCACTGTGCCTCCCGCCCCCCTTCGCGAGCTTGAACTCCCAAGGTGCGAGGTGCGCATCATCACTTGAACTGATTTCACCAGCAGGTTCCTCTGGGCTCGCGGAATGCGCACCCACGCACCTCTCAAGGTTGGCAAAAGCTCATATTGACATCATCAGTTTGTGCAGGTGTGCCTTTTTTTTTTTGTTTGTTTTTTTTGAATTGCAATTGGGTGTGGCAGCTAAAAATCCGGCACTGTGATTGCACTGTTTGCTGGTAAAATGCTGCACGACTTGAAAGTGAGCTGGCCTAGATTTTTGGGACTCCTCCACCAACCGCCTCCTCCTCGTACTTGGCTGCAGCGCGGTGCATTTGAGCTGAGCTTGGAGCTCGTTCAGCTTGTGTCATTCATGCCGTTTGCCACATTTTGTTGAAAAAAAGCGCCATCAGTGCGAAGACTCTTTTCCCCTCGCATGGACATTGCGTGAATCCAGCATGCCAGCAACATGAGCAGTCGCTTTTTGTGTTGCTGTCCAAACAAAACAAAAGACATGAATCACACATGCCAACCCAATCTGCTTTGCATGAATGATGGCTCTGCCTGATCATTAATGGCTGGCCTCAATAAAGGCACAAAAAAAAAAAAGGCACAATTGTATGCCGCCTGGAAATATGGGAAAACGGGTCAAATTGAAAGAAGAAAAAAGAAATTCATCCCTCACTTCATGTTCATTTTAGAAAATGGCTGCAATGGACCTTTACAAAAAACAACAATATGTTATTTTTGAATTTTTTCATACAAATGGATACCAAACATTTATTTATGTTATTTTTCAATTTTTTCATACAAATCGATACCAATGGACTGTCCTGATATCATCTGCTATTTTTATGCATTATTAACCAATTTAAAGTGTTGAAACACTCTAGAAACTCTCTTGAAAGGTCACGTGTGGTAAAAGTCACTCTTCCCTCACTCTGCGGGAGACATGCAGTTATGTTGCCTCCAGATTTCAAGAATGGGTGTTTTTTTTTTTTTTTTAAGATGAGAAAAAGTGTAAATAGATACATTTGAGTCAGCCTGTTTTGTTAAAAATGGATCACTGCATGCTTCAATGCAGAAGGAACTGGTCAGCCACAAAGGTAAAAAGAATGATGAGGTGTTTGCTAACTGAAGAGGCAAGATGGCATTTATTATTATTTTTTTTTTTTTTAAATTTTCCTGCACAGTACGGATTTTTGTGTTGTGAGGGTTCCATCTCAAACCATCCATTCATTTTTCCGATCTGCTTTATCCTCACAAGGGTCGCGGGGGTGCTGGAGCCTATCCCAGCTGTCTTCGGGCAGTAGGCGGGGGACACCCTGAACTGGTTGTCAGGCAATCGCAGGGCACACAGAGACGAACAACCATGCGCGCTCACATTCACACCTAGGCACAATTTAGAGTGTTCAATCAGCCTGCCATGCGTGTTTTTGGAATGTGGGAGGAAACCGAAATACCCGGAGAAAACCCACACAGGCACGGGGAGAACTTGCAAACTCCACACAGGCTGGCCGCAGCCGGAAGCAAACCCTGCACCTCTGCACTGTGAAGCGGACATGCTAACCTCACCCACCTCAAAACAATGACATGAAATTCGACATCTGGTTAAGTACGTGTAACAAAAGCTTATTTTTTCGATCACCAAAGACGACAAAGTGTTGCACCGGATGTGTTTGTGATGAAAAAACTCTTCCAGTTAGATTGCATGACCTTGACAATTACACATCGCGAAATTCCGCAAACGATTGACCCGCTTCTCCAAGCGCGCGGACAAATGAAAGTCGTGAGGGCGTGGAGGTGTGGGAGGGATAAAGCTACGGTACCGACCGTGTCTTCTGGCGGAGCACAATGGTCAACGAAGCGAGCAATTTGCAGGAGCGCAAAGCGAGAGCACCTGTCAAGACATCTTCGACAGCGTTTATCTCTGAGCGGCGCACCCTTTCTGGAAGGAAATGGACCACATCTGAATAGCTCTGAATAAGCCGCCTTTCCGCCAAGTGCGAATTCACGTCGCTTCAGCTGGCCGGCGTACGGTCGGAGGCAAATCAAGCGTGTCAAAGCTCGCGTTTGTAAGTCAGTCGCCGTCGCCGTAAAGGATATTAAACGCTTTGCCAGGCCGTAAAGGCGCCATCGATCGGCCGGCCGTCGCCAAAAGGGAGAACGAGAAATGAGAACGGAGGCGGCCGGCCACCTTTTTGTTCTTGAATGACGTGGATTGGGTAGCGTGGAACGCAGATACGCCGCGCTGTACGGGCGAACGGCCGCTCTGTAGCAACGAGACTTCAAGTCACGCCCGGGGGGTTAGGAAGTGGTCTAAATAAGACTCGGAATGAAAGGAACGTGCCGAGTCAAAAGAACTTTGGTGAGATATTGAAAGGTAGCGAGAGGCTGACACGCCGACTGCCATCAAAGGCATCGAAAAGGCCTTGATGAATAATTTACAAAGCGGCATAAAAAGATGCAAAGGGAGGCAGCCCAGACCCAAAATATACAATGTTCAGATTTAGAATTTAAATCAAGGCAGCTGCCTTA